AGGGGGAGGTGGGGTGCAGGGGAGAGGGGAGGTGGGGTGCAGGGGAGAGGGGAGAGGGGAGGTGGGGTGCACTGGTAGTGTCCCTACCCCTGAGCAGAGAGAACCAGGTTCAAAGTCCCACCTGCTCCAGAGTTGTGTAATGACCTCTCTCAACAGGTTAATTAGAAAAGTAGTTTAATAAAAACAAAAAAAAACAGTGGTTGGTGTAGGGGGCCTCTTGTGGCTCAGTGGTAGTTTCCCTGCCCCTGGACCAGGAGGTCTGGTTTCAAATCCCATTTGTTCCAGAAGTAGATAATAACAACTTTGTACTGGTTGATTTTTTAAAAAAAAAACTATTTTTCTAAAAAAAGAAAAGGAACATTGCCATGGGTGCACAGTCAGCAGGCCTAGGTTCAAGTCCCACCTGCTCTATTACAACTCTGAACAGGTCTTTTAAAAGTATTCAGAAAAAAAGGAACCAGTTGTGACACTGGGTGTGGTATGGGAGCTGTGAAACCTAAGGATATCAATTAATTTTCTCCAGAAAGAAAATATTTGTCTTATAAAGAAAGTAACACTACCTGGCCCTAATGGCTGTTGTGGTACAACAGTAATCTCCCTATCAATGGGTGAGGAAAACACACACAACACCATCTGCTTGTGGTAGCACAATGTATCTAAACTCGTTAATTTTTTTTTTTAAAAAAGTAGCAACTCACCCGAGAGGGCTCTTGCGGTGTGGTGGCAGTATTCTTATAAAGTCATACAGCACAGAAACAGACGCTTTGGTCCAACCAGTCCATGCCAACCATAATCCCAAACTGAACTAGTCCCACCTGCCTGTACGTGGCCCATATCCCTCCAAACATTTCTTATTCATGTACTTGTCTAAAAGACATTTAGACATTCTAACTGTACCCACATCCACCACTTCCTCTGGCAGTTCACACAAACTACTGTGTAAAAAAAACTGCCCCTTGCATTTTTTTTTTTTAAAATCTTTCTCCTCTCACCATACAAATATGCCCCCTAGTCTTGAAGTCTTAAAATCAGTATTAAAATTATAATTCTCTGAGCCAGGAGACCTGGCTTCAAAGTCCCAAGTCTCACCTATTGCAGAGGTGTGTTGTAACAGGATAAAGAACAAAGAAAATTACAGCACAGGAACAGGCCCTTCAGCCCTCCAAGACTGTGCCGATCCAGATCTGCCATCTAAACCTGTCGCCTATTTTCCAAGGATCTATATCCCTCTGCTCCCTGCCCATTCATGTATCTGTCTAGATACATCTTAAATGACGCTATCGTTCCTGCCTGTACCACCTCCGCTGGCAACGCGTTCCAGGCACCCACCATCCTCTGCGTAAAGAGCATTCCACGCGTATCTCCCTTAAACTTTTCCCTTCTCACCTTGAAATCGTGACCCCTAGTAACTGAGTCCCACACTCTGGGAAAAAGCTTCTTGCTATCCACCCTGTCTATACCTCTCAGGATTTTGTACACCTCAATCAGGTCCCCCCTCAACCTCCTTCTTTCTAATGTAAATAATCCTAATCTACTCAACCTCACTTCGTAGCTAGCACCCTCCCTACCAGGCAACATCCTGGTGAACCTCCTCTGCACCCTCTCCAAAGCATCCACATCCTTTTGGTAATATGGCGACCAGAACTGTACGCAGTATTCCAAATGTGGTCGAACCAAAGTCCTATACAACTGTAACATGACCTGCCAACTCTTGTACTCAATACCCCATCGGATGAATGAAAGCATGCCGTATGCCTTCTTGACCACTCTATCGACCTGCGTTGCCACCTTCAGGGTACAATGGACCTGAACACCCAGGATGATTAGAAAAGATCTGTAACTGCAACCTGTCAATAGTTCAACTATAATTACGGCTCTCATGGTGCAGTGGTAATGCCCTTCCTTTGAGCCAGGCGACCCAAATCTAATCTCTATTCAAATATTTCTTCCACAGTAGGATGGAGCACAGCATCAGGTATGGCAAGGCAAACTTCAACATGGAGAAGTGATGTGAGGACTTGTTTCTGATAGCATCAAAATCAGGAATTAAGTCAGGACTTTGCATTTTGGGTTGGGACTTCAACACTGATGTTCAAATGTGGATCCGGATTCACTCCCTGGACCAAGATTGCTTCATATTAATTTTTTTAAAAAAATGAACACAGTTCTACACTGAGGTCTACGCCAATTATAGTGCCCCAATACTGTGCTCAGATTAAAACCAAGTCTACGCTAGTATGTGACATTCAGTGTAAAGTTATAACATTCCTCATCCAGGAAAAACCACTCAAACCACTTCACAAGCCAACTGGAAGGAATTAAAACACAGGTAGAATGTGGCTGAGTAGACAGATGAGTTTTGACATGGCATTGAGACAAAGTGAAGGCAGATTTTCAAACCAAGTCCTTCGACATTCTGCCCTTTCCATTAAGCTGACAGTTTAACACACAAACATCAAAAAATGAGTGCAAAATGTTGTAAAATTGTTCGATTATTCTAAAGATAGAATGATACCAATCTGAGTACAGATCTTTCAGCCCATTTCGCATCTGCAACCCACTAACTTTGTTCGGAAACTTACTAGTTGAACTTCATATGGTATGATCATTCAGTGTTTATTTTAATGGATATACAAAAACTGGTATCAATGAATTGACATGAAACTGCCATTTTTTAAAAAAAAAAATCCAACTAGTTCAAAATGTTCTTCAGGGATAGGAATCTGCCATCCTGATTTGGTCTGAATGATGAGCAATATTAATCCCACCACTCTTGGAACGGCTGAGTGAGCAATAGAGCATTCAGGGCAAGGGACAGACAACAAATGTGCATCCTTGCTAACGAGGCTCACATTCAGTGATCAAATAATCAACAAAAACATTCTTTCTTTAGGCACAATGAAATATATGAAATGTGGTTCATCAATGCCCCACAAATAAATGCGATAACCAAGTTTTGATTATCAGCCATTCATAAAGGCATAACAATAATATTACATGGACAGAAACCCCCAGCAATGGAATCATACACCACTGTGATCCGCTGTTTTCAAGGTAGATGAACAGAATGGCTTTAAGCATGGGCTTTTTTGCATATTAGAAAAAAATATGAGACTCTGAAAGAAAAATATGCAAAAGGTGACAAAGATACAAAATCAGTAAAATGAACTCGTGACTCACATCAAAAACTGGTGACAGACAGTACTATCTCCAGGTAAACAGAATTTGTATGTGTGTCAATACTTACACCAAAGCTCATAATAGTAGTTACAGCATTGTGACTCTCCACAACAGTGTCCTGTTTCACAGAAGTAACTCTGGTTGTTCACGCCAATGCATATCTCTCTTTCTTGAGACTTCAAAAAGAGAAAAAAAAAATTATGGTGGTGATGAGTGCGCGAGAGAAAATTACCAATGCAAATGATTGTTATGCAAACAAAAGACTAAAGATTCACCAACCACCTACCTTCACCCACCATCATTGGCTAGCACTCAGTTTATTATTTTATGGTAACATGGTTCATTTACAGGAAAGGGAAGGGATTGGTTTGGATTATTGTTAATTTGAAAATCAATAATTAATTTCACCCCATCTACTCAATTTTGTGTGATGAGGAGGATAAACTGTACATTGGTCTTTGCTGATATAGACTTTAGCCATCCCAAGTAAACACCAGTTGTCACAAGTTGTCATTGATAGCCCTTCGTATGTTTTTCATCCTGTCTTCTTGGTGATGGCCTGCAATATTGGCTTCACTTCCTCAACTAAAGTTAATGAAGGGACCTAGCAGATGTTGTAACACTGGCTCATTTAGTATAATAATACACATCAGGGTTAACACTAAAGGATTAATGGGTTACTGGATTATTGAATGTTTATCAAGAGAAATAGTCTGCCCATCATCAGGAAAAGCTACAGCTGATGATTAAAAGTATCACACTAGCTTTCTACCTAGTGCACAATGACTGCCAAACTGCTTTAGTTAAAATATAACACTTAATATCCTAACTTGAATCAAAGAATTTATACGATGATTACAAATCACAGCCCATTATTCCCCGCTGGTGTATGTTTCAATCTCCCCATTCTGATTCTATCCCTGCACCAATACCACATTAGTCACAAATGACTTCTTCTGAGAAAATGGAACAATGGACTATCTCTCTCGAACCTCTCTACTGCCTTTGGTATGGTCAGTCAAGAGAACTCTCCTCCACTGGTGAATGGAGTGGGAGAAATTTTCTCCCTAGCTGAACCTCATGTCTTCAAGGGTGGCACGGTGGCTCAGTGGTTAGCACTGCTGCCTCACAGCACCAGGGACCTGGGCTCAATTCCAGCCTCGGGTGACTGTCTGTGTGGAGTATGCACAAAGTCTCCCAGTGTCTATGTGGGATTCCTCCAGGTACTTCGGTTTCCTCCCATAGTCCAAAGATGTGCAGGTGAGTGGATTAGCCATGCTAAATTGCCCATAGGGTCTAGGATGGGAAGTGAAGGGATAGGATAAGGGGTGTGTCTGGGTGGGACGCTCTTCAGAGTGTCAGTGTGGACTCGATGGGCTGAATGGCCTGCTTTCGCACTGTAGGAATTCTATGAAGTATTTCCCCATCACTGCCACTTTCAAGTCCTCTCTTGCCTGTGTACTCAGACTGTCAGAATCCAGTATCAGAAAGCTGCAATTTCCTTCAGTTAAAACACTGGGAAGATCAAAGCCAACATGTTCAAAACCCAAATTCTAAAACTGAGTCAGTTCTTTGCCTCGGTGCTAAACGATTGACTCCTTAGCCTGAGATTATTCCTCCCAGTTCTAGACTTTCCAATCAGGAGAGACGACCTCTCAGTATTGAATCTTTCAAGTCATAGAGTCATAGAGCTGTACAGCATGGAAACGGACCCGTTGGCCCAACTCACCCATGCCGACCAGAGATCCTAAACAAATCTAATCCCATTTGCCAGCATTTGGCCCATATCTCTCTTAAACCCTTCCTATTCATATACCCATCCAGATGCCTTTTAAATGTTGTAATTGTACAGCCTCCATCACTTCCTCTGGCAGCTCATTCCACGCACACGCCACCCTCTGCATGATAATTTGCCCCTCAGGTTCCTTTTAAATCTATAAAGTCACCCCTCAGCCTCCGAAGCTCCAAGGAAAATAGCCCCAGCCTCTCCCCATAGTTCAATCCCTTCAACCCTGGCAACATCCTTGTAAATCTTTTCTGAACCCTTTCAAGTTTCGCAACATCCCTAGACTGTTGAAGGCTGAGGGGTGACCTTATAGAGGTTTATAAAATCATGAGGGGCATAGATAGGATGAATAGCCAAGGCCTTTTCCCCAGGATTAGGGGAGTCCAAACATAGGGGGCATAGGTTTAAGGAGAGAGGGAGGGACAGGACTGGCAGCTTAACTTGCCATGGTACAGGTACTTTACGTGGGACAGAGGTGAAAGAAAGAGACGAGAGGGAGTTGCGTTTTTGACAAAGGGAGTATCACAGCAGTAGTCAGAGATGAAATAATTGAGGGATCATCCAGTGAGGCTTTGTGGGTGGAGCTGAGAAATAAGAAGGGGATGGCGATGTTATTGGGGTTTTTAATTTTCCTAACATACACTGGGACTGCCATAGCGTTAAGGGTTTAGATGGGGTGGAATTTGTTAAATGTGTTCAGGAAAGTTTCCTCAAGCAGTATATAGAGGATCCCATTTGGGAAGGGACAAAATTCGACCTACTATTGGGAAAGAGGACAGGACAGGACTGGACATGGTAGGGAAACACTTGTTCCTGTGAGGGTGAAGTGCAAGGTTGGCAAGCGTAGGGAATCCTGGATGATAAAAGAGAAATTGAGGCTTTGACCAGAAAGAGAGAGAAGGCTCAGGAGCAGGCAGCTGGGATCAAGGGAATCCCTGGAGGTGTACAGGGGATACAGAAGTTTACTGAAGGAGGAAGTCAGGAGGGTGAAAAGGAGGCACGAGATACCTTTGGCTGAGAAGATTAGGGCGAATCCAAAGAGATTCTTTAAGTATAGTTATTCTTTTTCCTTTAACAGAGAGAATAGGACCCCCTCAAGGACTAAAGTGGACACGTGTGTGGAACCGTAGGAGATGGGCGAGGTCCTCAATGAATATTTCTCCTGTGTTTACTATGGAGAAAGACATGATGACTTGGGAACCTGGGGACGTTAGTGGCGATATCATGGGGACAGTCCATATCAAAGTAGAGGTGGTGTTTAAGGTATTAGAATGTTTGAAAGTGGATAAATCGCCTGGTCCTGATCAGATATATCTGAAGCCTGCAAGAGGCTAGAAGAAAAAATTGCGGGGGCCCTGGTTGATGCATTTGCATCATCATTAGCCAAGGGTGAGGTCCCGGAAGACTGGAGGGTAGCAAATGTTGTGTCCATATTTAGAAAAGGCTGCAAAGAAAAACCTGGGAATTATAGACCAATATCTTAATACCTGTGATAGGCAAGTTACTTGAGCAGATTCTGAGGGATGAGATATACACGCATTTAGAAAGACAGGGTTTGATGAGTAGTAGTTAGCACGGCTTCATGCATGGGGGTTATGCCTCAAATTTGTTACCGATCTTATATAAAGTGACCAGGAAGGTTGAGGAGGGCAGGGCAGTAGATGTAATCTATATGGATTTTATTAAGGCCTTTGATATGGTTCCGTGTGGTAGGCTGCTCTAGAAGGTTAGATTGCATGGAATCCAGGGAGAGCTGGCAAATTGGATACACAATTGGCTTAATGGTAGGAAGCAGACAGTAACAGTGGAAAGATGCTTATCAGACTGGAGGCCCGTGACTAGTGGTGTGCCTGAGGTGTCGGTGCTGGGCCCATTGCGGTTTGTTATATCAATGAGTTCGATGAGAATGTACAAGGCATGATTAGCAAGTTTGCAGATGACACTAAAATAGGTGGTACTGTGGACAGTGAGGAAGGTTATCAGAAATTGCAGCAAGATCTTGATCAGCTGGGGAAATGGGCCGAGAAATGGCAAATGGAGTTTAATATAGATAAGTGTGAGGTGTTGCATTTTGGAAAGTCAAATCAAGGTTGGAGTTTCATGGTAAATGGTAGGGCCTTAAGGAGTCTAGTGGAACAGAGGGACCTTGGAGTTCAGGTGCACAGTTCTCTGAAAGTGGAGTCATGGGTAGACAGGGCAGTGAAGGCAGCTTTTGGCACACCGGCCTTCATCAGTCTGGACATTGAGTATACAAGTTGGGAAGTTATGTTGCAGTTGTACAGGATGTTGGTGAGGCCGCACTTGGAGTATTGTATTCAGTTTTGGTCACCTTGATATAGGAAGGATGTTATTAAACCGGATAGATTGCAGAAGCAATAAGCAAGGATGTTGCCAGGACTCAAAGGGACTGAGTTATAGGGAGAGGTTGGACAAGCTAGGACTTCTTTCTTTGGAGCGTAGGAGACTGATCTTATCGAAGTGTATAAGACCATGAGAGGCATTAATAGGGTGAATGTACTCAGCCTTTTTCCCAGGGTTGGGAGACCAAGGACTAGAGGACATCAGTTTAAGGTAAGGGGGGAAAGAATACATGGGGGCAAATTATTTGTACAGAAGGTGGTACACATATAGGATGAGCTGCCAGCGAAAGTGGTTGAGGCGAGTACGTTAACATTTAAACGGCATTTGGACAAATACTTGGATAGGAAAGTTTAAGAAGAACATAGGCCACATGCAGGGAAGTGGGGTGAACGTGGATGGACACTTTGGTTGGCATGGACCAGTTTGGGCCGAAGAGCCTGTCTCTGTGCTGTAGGACTCTATGATTCTATGATCCTATCCTTCCTGTAGCAGGGAGACCAGAATTGAACGCAGTGTTCCAAAAGTGGCCTAACCAATGTCCTGTACAGCCACAACATGACCTCCCAATTCCTATACTCAATGCACTGACCAATAAAGGCAGGCATACCAAAACTCCTTCACTATCCTAACTATCTGCACTCCAAGGTCTTTTTGTTCAGCAACATTCCCCAGAAACTTACCATTAACTGTGTAAGTCCTGCCCTGATTTGCCTTTCCAAAATGCAGCACCTCACATTTATCTAAAATAAACTCCATCTCCAACTGCTTGGCCATTGGCCCATCTGATCAAGATCCCATTGTACCATGAGGTAACCTCCTTCAATGTCCACTACATCTCCAATTTTGGTGTTCTCTGCAAACTTAGTAACCATACCTCCTGCGTTCACATCCAAATCATTTATATAAATGACAGAAAGCAGTGGATTCAGTACCAATCCTTTTGGCACACCGCTGGTCACAGGCCTCCAGTCTGAAAAGCAACCCTCCACCAATACCAAGCAGCATCAGAGGAGCAGGAAAGCTGACGTT